GTGCAACCAACAAAATAGACCACCAAGGCCGTATCTTATTATTCCATGCTAATGTATTCAAATGAGCAAACGCCATTCAAATGCGAACTTTGAAGACTGAAGTGGAGAAAGGTTCCGTGTGATCAGTAATTGGACACGGGTGAGTCGATCCTAAGAGATAGGATAATTCCGTTTGAAAGCTGGGCTGTTTGAGGCGTGGGGTTCGTCCTTGCGTTTTGTATGCAGCCTCGTGTATCGAAAGGGAATCAGGTTAATATTCCTGAACCGAGACGTGGATAATATGTGGTAACACAACCGACCCAGGAGACGCTAGCGTGTGCCCAGGGAAGAGTTCTCTTTTCTTTTTAACAAGCATATCCTACCTTGGAAACGGATTATCCGGCGATAAGGAGGATGCCTTGGCAAAGCACTTTACTTTTTGAAGTGTCCTGCGCGCCCACGACAGCCCTTGAAAATCCTGGCTAGAGATTTATTCGCACCCTCGTTCGTACTCATAACCGCATCAGGTCTCCAAGGTTAGGGCCTCTCTTCCGGTTAACTCTCAGTCTTATATTTCCCTCCTTCTACTCAAGAGGAAGCCAAGCCAATCAACAAACTTTTATTTTCAACTCTCTAGTGTTCCTATCTACCGTTCCTGCAGCCACTGAACAAGACCGTACTCCCTGAACAGCCGCGGACTACCCGACCCTTGAAGGAAGAGGAGGTATACGACAAATGGTGACGACAAATTATCGTTAAAAACAAACAAGGAACGCGTCGTGGTTGACGGCACGTGCGCAGATTTTGAGCACGGTTCTCGGTGCCGTCGTAGTAGGTTAATCTCAAGAGAGAGAGTGCATTCTACCTTAGTGAGCTATTTCTCATGCTAGATGATTCAGATAAAGAAAAGAAGACAGAAGACTGTCTCATCAAGCCACGCCCATGTTTAGATTTTTACTGAAATCCAAGCTAAAGACCAAATTTAATGAACTCACATTCAGTTAAAGATCAAAATCAAGACCAAAAAATCATCCGACTACAACGTCTTTGAAGCCACACACTGAGCAATAAATCATTTTACGGAAGTGCCCGACGCGGGTGGTGCATCTCGACTAGCGTAATGTACAGACCCGCACCGATCACGCCCCCAACCAGTGGACCCACGATCGGGATCCAAAAGTAGTGATCGCGCAGGGTGAATACCTTGGATCCCCAGCCAGCGATGCTCGTGAAAAGACGAGGGCCGAAGTCACGCGCCGGCTTAATAGCGTAACCCGTGTTCATACCAATGCACATACCGAGCGCCATGATCGAAAGGCAGAAGGCGAATGGTGCGCCTACAGGGCCAGCCGGACGGTTCCTTTGATCCGTGATGGCATATATACCGAGTAACAACATCCCCGTGCCGACTACCTCCGTGTAGAAGGCCGTGTAATTAGAAATGTTGTCACTCGGGTAAGTAGCGAAGCTTCTCTGGGTAGTCTCTCGGTCGGGGTCAATGGCGTTCCGTTTCTGCCACTGCATGACCCAGATCACAAATGCGCCCACGAATGCACCCAAGACCTGTGAGATCATGTAGCCTGACGCCTTCCACCAAGGTAGACGGCCGTATACACAGTGTGCCAGTGTCACTGCAGTGTTCAAGTGGACTCCGCTGATTCCTTCCATGCAGTACACACCAATTAAGACTCCGATACCCCAGCACATGTTGATACTGAGCCACGTGCCGTTGGCGTCTTGTGAGTTGGTCACCTGGTTGTTAACGCCCATACCGAACAAGATCATGACGAAGGTGCCGAGGAACTCGGCGAAACACTCGCGTAAGTGCACACTCTGCACGGCAAAGCGAGCGAGGCTGGTGTCAGCCTTAGGAGTCGATGGCATATCGATGTAGCTGACCTCGTGCTTGCCGTCGATGTCTTCGAAAGGCTGCGGGGCATAGTTAGCTGACTCATCCGGGGTCTGGTTGGAGAGGAGCGGAGCCATCGTTATGTAAGGACGGACAGGTGGCAATGACTCGAGCTCGGATGTGCTCTCTAGCCGTCAAAAATGGAAATGAGCAGCACAAAGGGGCCCAGTGTCGTCGTCTTCCACTAGACAATTATCGAGTCTTCTAGCTGCCTGTGAGTCGTAAGGTGACCGCAGTGGAAGATGATGCAGCCAGATGCCTGACCCGAGAGCTGTTGAACAAGTTCAACGCCACTCTCACTTGACTTGACGGTTAATTGGACTCTGTGAGCTCAGGCTTTTATACCTGACTCAGGAACTTCACGTTGCCCATTGCGTATCACACAGCAACACGAGCGTAAGCTACCATGGTGCTTGAAGTACAAAACTATCCGAGCAGCGACACAGGCTGAAGGGTTTCATAAGTGCTGGGCGATATATTTGCATGTTGCCGCAGTCTTTGCTTCTCCACCGCTGCCACCGAGACTGTTTACAGTCATCGCAGCTCTCAAAACCTGCGACTGACGGCAGTATCATAATCTAGTATGGTACAGTGCTTAGCAGCAGCGTATTAATATACAAGTAGCAGTTTTGAGAAGCTGACAGCTACCATCGCTGAGTTAAGCGACTAGGGAGAGTAGCGCAGTGCGACAAAGCTCAAGCATGGCTGAACATTGCGCAACAAGTGTGTGGCTCACTAGGTCGGACGAGACTTCAAGGCTGGTGAGCCGGTGACAGCACAGTGAGAAGGCTAGTCCTTCTCACGAATGTGCTCAAATCCAACACGCTTTTAAGTGTAAAACAAGGCTAAAAGTATGTATTATATCTATTGTTGGAGATCTACATGATGCAGATTGCAGCTTTGAGTGTGGCGGATGCGCTTCGCTTTGTAATTAGCGCTTCTGCTTGGGGCTTTCTGAAGCGCCCCGCTCAGTACCTCAGAGGACCGTGACATACGCCGTCCCACACTGCCCCAGTGTCTTTGTGCATTATTTTAGAATCTTACCGTGAGAACCACTACTAGTGCTCACGGTTGGCAGGTAGGTTTGAACAGCCAATCACATCAAACCTTCCTGTCCTGTTTTTTTTCTTCAACTAAAACCTACTCCCAAAAAGTGAAGGTACAAGGGTATTGATGCAAACGACTAGGATAACGTTTGATTTGATTGGTTGTGGCACAACAACATCGCGACCACCAACTTTAGTATTTCATTCTGCCAAAATGGTTAACAAAAGGTGGAGTGCTGAGGAAGAATATGCTCTTCTCGATTACCTGTCTACACATTTAGATGAGTACACGAAAGGAGTCAGGTCGAAGTTCTACGAAGCTGCTCTTACAGTGCTCCCGCAGAAGTCAGCAGCGCAAGCTAAGACCAAATGCACGGACCTTGAAAGCACCTACAAAAGTTACAAGACTTAACTCAGTCGCTCTGGCTTTGGTTTGAAAACTACTGATTCTACGTCTATCAAAGGTGTATTTGCTTGTTATGCTTTTTTTTGTTTTGTTGGCCGATTAATGTTGCTACATCGACTGACATGCTACTCAAGAAATGCAAGTACTTCTACGACATGGACGAAATCTTTGGTTCGAGACACAACATGGTCCCTCCGTTTGTGCTAGAGCCGAATGCTGCTGTGCTGAATGGACAGGTTTACACTAGGTCCAGCACTACCGTCACGATGCAGACACCAGGCGTGACTGGCTCCCCTGTCCGAACACAGGCACCAACAATGGTCAGCACCTCCACCGTCAGCACATCCCCGTCCCCAGCAGTGGTCATTGCTAGCATTGTCAGCAGCCCGCCGAGGCCAGCAGCAGCAGCAGTCATCAGCACACCAGCAGCAGCAGATAGCAGTACGCCGACACTAGCACCAAGAGCAGCAGCAGTCAACAGCACGCCAACTACAGCGACCAGCGTTGCCAGCATTTTGCCAGTGCCAACAGCGGCCAACGCGCTCCAGGCGGCAGTAGCAGGTGATACAGCACTGATGGGACCAGCTGAGTGTATGAATGTGTCAGAATACTTTCCTGTTGATAGCTCGCTTACCACACGGTCGCCAACGACGAAGCTAGGCAGCAAGCGTGTCTATAACGATTCGCCGGGATCGTCTGTCGCTAAGCTCCTCGCCCAGATTCGTGACGAGCGTGACACGACCCGAGCAGAGCGCCACAACGAGGAAATGTCGATGCGCAGAGACGAGCTGGAACTGAAAAGGCAACAGTTCGAGGCATACAAATTTGAGTTAATACTTAAGGAACAGAAGATTTAACGCATGTTCTCAGTTATGACGCAGAAGTTGGACTTGCAAGCCAAGAAGATGGAGATTGAGTTGCTGAACCTGCGTACTACTTCTAAGCAAGATGGATAAAAACGTTTTTGTTTTTTGAGTTTTGTTTTCTATTGCTCTTCAGTTAGTCTAGGTGAAAACCTCTCGAACGCAGGACAATTTCTTGTATGCATGTACGCAGATCTTTACTGTCCTCATTGATCCAATCCACTGCTGATGCGTTATCCTCTATTGTATTGATCCCTCGGTACCTCGAAGCTGTCCGAACTATCGATGCACAAGTTCTGAAGTATAAAGCAGGAAACGATTTTGCTGCAGACCTTCATGATATCGTCTTCATCGACAATTCTGTCTCGGATTCCATCGAGAACAGGAAACCGAGCCTTCAATATCCCGATGGTGTGCTCCATAATAATGCGCTGTTGCGCCAAAAGCCAATTGAACGTCTTGTTTCGCGGTAGTGTGCTAGCTGGCATTTTATATGGGGTCGAAATGAATGGGAAGCAACTTACGCTGTCTCGCCGAGAAGATATTGACCAGCGTCAAAATATGCAGCTGGCTGCTCAGCCATAACCGTCAAACGCATTGCCCGTTTATCATGCAAAGACCCTAACTGGCCGACCTGTATCAAGTAGAACTAGCATTAGCGTAGTACCAAATGCGATGAGTCTTGCACCTTACCTGATAGTATGTAATACGGCGGCGGTGATCGCATACAACTTGAGCACCAATGCAGTAGATTGACTTTCGGGAATAGTAACACTCGGGGTCAACAGAGAGAGCGCTACTCAGCTTAAACGTTGTGCCGTCTACACATCCAACGCAGGATGGGAACCCTGAACGCGTCTCAAACGTTTGTGCGATTAAAAACCGTTCCTTCTTGCTCGGCCAGCGAAGAAACTCCGGCTCAATGGAAATAATTGCACTAGTCACTCGGTCCCTGAATGTATAAACAGAACCTTTTGAACACACCGCCGTAATAGAATAGTTAGCAATGCCACTAAGACGTCTGTAGCTGTAAGCTTACCTTCCCCAATGCCAAAATGCTGCACAATGCGATGAATCGTCAAGTCCTGCAGCGCGAAGAGAAGAACCTCCAGCTGAAGTTGGACAGGAGCTTGTTGCTGCTTGCCGGGTACTCGAGCGAAAGCAGTGTGGGCCTCGAAGCGTCCTAGCAAAAACACGAAGGTCTGTTTGCTCATGCGTAGGTCGCGGCGAGCACGAACGGCATCAGGCAGAAATATCCGTTCAGGGCTCCATTTCCCAGTTTTGACGACGTCTGGACGACCCAGGTAGCGGTGGGAGACTATCGCGCAGTAGAACATATCGTCTTCGTTTTCGTCGCTCTCGCTTCCCCGGTCACAAAGCAGATAGCTTAGAGCTGAGTGCTGTAGGTGCAGCAGCAGCGCTGCTCGTAGAGATCGCCCCATTCTCACCTTCAGCGCTCACTTACCAATGAAGTCACTGGCTGCGACTGTCAGTAGCCCCTGCATACGCTGCTCACAGTTGAACAATGAAGTTTTGATTTGATTGGCTTACGAAACCGTGAGAACCACTACTAGTAGTATCCGACAAAACAGCCTTTGTAAAAATCGTGTTTTATTTTTGACAAAGATCTAATTGTTTTCTATATGTTGCTTTTTTGCTAACCTTCCGTTAAAAAGCCATACGTTTTGTACCGCTTAGCAAAAGTGCTTCAACTCAAAGAACGGTTTGTTCCAAAAGTGGCGCTTATCGACCTCGGTCAAGATCAATCGCTTCCACGTGTAGATCGTAAAAAATTAATAACTTCGCTAAGATCAAACTGGGATAGTTGGTCTAAAAACGCTGCAACCATTTAAAGTTGATTTCTCTAAACTATTTCTCGAGCGGGAACAAAGGAAATACTGCTGCACTCGACAGTCATGGGTAAAGGTTTGGAATGGAACGCGGAGACCGTCCACCTTTGCGGATCGTGGCTAGAGACGTCAGAAGATACTGTTGCCGGTACTGATTGAAAGAAGCAGTCGTTCCATACCCGATTGTACGAGCGCTAGATGTAAAACATGGGCAAGAGACTAGAAAGAAGCTCGCTCAGCGACTGCATTTTGGTGGTCGATGGAAAAATTTGCAGCCAGAGGTGACTAAGTTCTGGGGAGTGTTCGCCATGCTGCGCTCTGGCTGGAACGATGGCATGAACCTAGATGCAGACAGCCATTTGAGTTTCTCGTAGTGAGGAGAGATAAAACAGACAAGCCTAAAGAGGCCTGTAAGATAAAACGTGTCAACACTATTCGATCGAAGCGCAAAGCAGGTGGTGAAAGCGGCGTAGACATACCCGGAGATCGCAAGGCAGCAAAAGCAGGACAACGAAAGCATTGCAATCGACAGAGCGTTAGCGATGAAGCTCTCTACGCTTCGTGACAGTAACAGAGAAGAAGACTTTAGTATTGGAGCGCAGCTGCGATTGACTATCTTCATACATAACACGCAGCGTTTCGAGGCACGAGAAATATCCTCTATGTCGCATGAAAAAAATATTCAGCCAGGCAAAGCGCGTCCTCAGCCGTAGAATATATAAATTTGGTCTCTGACGAGTTTGGTCGCGCCATAGTTTAGCACTTTGGTCACGAGACCAAACCGGTTAGTCTCGTACAGTATACGCACGCGTTCAAATATTAACTTAGTAAGGTAAGAAAAAAAACAAGAGAAAACCAAACACGACCAAAGGCGTTTAGCTCATTTACACAGTTGTAGTGTTTAAGACATAG